TGTTATGGCGGGTTGCTACTTCTTAGCTAGCATTCAATAGTTCTTTTTTTATAACTGAGTTAATTTTATTAACGCTGAGTTGTTCTAGATTCAGTGCTTGGGCGGTTTTTAATTTACTAGCATATTTTTCTTTATCGACTTTTAGCTTTTCTGTGTCTATTTGTATCGTGTTATTAAAGTTAATTCTACGTTTGCTATACTTAATCCTTAGTTTAGCTCTAACCATACTGTGATCACTACTCAAGGAGACATTATTTATTACTGTTACATCTTCTACGATACTTTTCTTGTTACACATGATGTCATCGATTTCGTTCCTTGTTTTTCCGTCTGGTGATAACCACGTCCACTTTCTTTGCGGTTTTTTCTTACAAAATGTGTTCATTACGAAATATTTGTTGCTATGTAGGAAGTTAACGAGGATTTCTCCTCTCTCATTTCTAACACCATAGCCGAATTCACCAATATAGTTTTTACTTTCTTCCAGTCGTTGTCCAATCTTAGCGTTGAAATCTCCTATTATAAGTGTATAAGTGCTGTGATAGTTCGTGTTGGTTTCTATTATTTTCTCGTAAAACTCATCTATCTCTTCATCGGGGTGTGAAGTTGGGGCGTACACTTGAATGATTTTTAGGGTGATTTTCTCGTTTATATTCATCACAATCATTGCAATTCTTACTGAGATTCCCACATATGGTTCTATTTTATTAGCATGTTTCTCAGAAACCAGAAATCCTACGCCGTTTAGACTTTGTTCTTTGTGCCCTTTGTAATACAAGATGTTACCTGATTGCAATGTTATGCGCTCCTCACCTTTCCTTTTTACCTCTGCGAGACCAATTATGTCCCACTTTAGGTCCTTTATTTCTTCTTCTAGCTCATAGATTTTTTCATCTCTAAATGGAGGTTCACTTTATTTTTTATGATATTCTAAAAAAACAATTATTTTTTTCAGATAAACATAGTTCCACCTTACATACAGTGCAATGCCACCTCGTTCGATGGGGTTGGTTTCTTGTACTGCATCGTGCACATCTTAATTTTGTTCCATGTATTGGCATATCCTCTGACTTGTTAGTGCGTATTTCAATGCGAACGCAGATTTTAAATTTATTTACCTGAGAATCTAACAATTTTCTTCCTTTCTGAGTAAGCGAAGGAGTACCCATAAGTCCTGCACAAACTGCCAACCAAAATTCTCTTGAGGAAAGTGTTGATGCACTACCAGATCGTTCTTTAAAAATAACGAAGGCATTAACAACCGTTAAGTCAACAAAATGCCAAAATATTCTATGCTACCATTTGTTGCACTTGCGGTTAATTTCGTAAAAAGATTTGAGCATATCTGACTTGTCCACATAACCCATATGTTCGTTGTAATCTTTTATCAAACTTCGGCAAGTAACGTTTTGCTTAGAGTCATCCTTTTGTTTCCTTGAAATAAGTTGAACATCTATAGGATCATGAAAATTACTCATAAAGTGAACTGATAGATCTATCGCCTACTAGAATCTACTAGAATTATTCATCTATTGGCATGTAAAAGGAAAAATAATTGATCACTAATTATCTAATAAAATCCACAAAAACAATGGAACACAAGGTTTTAAGTTACAATTTTTTTTAGTTTTCTCTTATTTCCTATATCTCCTTTAAGTATTAGGTTTAATTTCTTAAATTTAGAATACATTTGAGAGCGAAAAAGACTGTGAAATTATCTGTTCCACAATCCTCTTCGACTCTCTTTTGGAGGAAAGTCTTTCCTGCCTTTTAAATTGATTTATAAATAAACGTTTCGATTGTGGCGGATAAAGAAAAAGGAACAGCATCACTTTTCAGCTTAGGGCCTTTCTTTGATTTATATTACAGCAATTCATTAAGTATTTAAAACAATTAATTTTATTATTCAATTTTTCTTCAAGACAACAAGCAATAACCCACAGTTTTCCACTACCAGGTCCTTAAGAAAACCATAAAACCTACCAGATTTATCTGCATGTCTTGTCTGATTATGACTCAAACAACCAGCTACTACACAACGCGTTTTTTTTTTAGCTTATAAATTGTTCCTAGCAAAAGTCCCTAAAAAATGCTGGAAGGGTATGAGTATGGTTGGGCATTAAGTACTGACTCAATAATTAAACATACCTTATTTATAACTGTAAAACACTAAATTATTATCCGTATAATAAGTAGGTATACCTACAAAGCCACTGTCACTTAAAAAATCGCATAAAGAGTTCAAAATATTCCTAATAATATTTTTTTAAACTAAAAAGCCTACAAATTAACTTGAATCTCACAAAATACCATAAAATTTACAACAAGCTTACCAAAGAAGCCAAAAGCTAAAAAATTGATAAAATTTCCGTGATAATTAGATATATTACAATGACGGTAACTCTCATTGTGACGTCAAGAATAGGGGATCTGCTGACAGTGGCCTGCGCAATATCATACCTTTTATTCTTTGTACCATGATCGTACCCTGATTGTACATGTACCGCATGATCGATAGTGTAAGAGAGGGGATTATAGAATTGGTCTGGTAAAAATTCGTGAAATTGTGGTTCCACTATGGGACTACTGGCCCACAAATGGTGAAGAGTAACAAACAATATATTATTGTACTGAAGAATTTATATCATGAATAACGCTAAAAATACTAAGCTCCTTCAGTAAAATAGTATAACTTAAAGTTTTTCTTTTTCTATCCTTTTCTTTAGAAATCATTGATTAATTTGTCCATTATACGTTATGTTCAACGTTTTCGTTTGGTGATGTTGTCGTCGACTTCCCGACGTATTTTATAAACACAATTCATGGTTAAATACAGTTTTATGTTTTATTTTTGAAGGATTTTATTAGATTCTCAAGATACATATTTAAATAAAGATTTAAATAAAAATTTTATAAAAGTATTGATGATCTACAAAGTATTTATCTATTTCAATTACTCAGAAATATGCAATTTGAGTAAAGTTACTTTATTTCAAAATGCCTTCACAAATTTGGTTAAAATTTACATTCAACCCTATATTTTACCTCGTTACTGTTGAAATTCCATCTAAGGGAACGGTGTTGTGCATTCCAGACCTCTTCAAATATGAATGCTCTATTATTTAATACCTAGTCGAGAAATGCAAACCTCTGCACCGTCGTGTCGGCCGGTGCTCAATTCATACTCAATTTCTTATGCATTGGATTTATTTCGCTGTTTATTTAAACATTCTCATTTGAGAATTTACTTGCATGTAATACAGTCAATAATGATATTTTTATACTTACGTTTTCCGTCATGTAGAGATACTGGTTCTTCTATCGTCTTTCACAATGATTTGTTATTTTTACCCAACCTCTTATAAAGAAAAAGTTGTATTGAACCAAGTTTCCTTTTTTTTTTAAGTATATATATTATTGTGATATTCCAAGTCTTAGATGCTCCAAGCAATTAATTAGCTAATTAATTAATTAAATAAACTTATTTAAATGATGTAATTATGATTCTATCACACTATTTAATTCTCTTATCTTAGGGTTATGCTCGTGCTTCAATATCTATGTTTTACATGTGATAGGTAAGGTCCAAAGAAAACCGGAATAATAAAAAACATATATGATATAACATTATATATTTAAATAAAATTATATTGAAATAAAATTCACACTTAAATATCTTCAATAAACAATATCTCATATAATGATTATCAAACTTTTGTCCTACGTACGTGAACCTTCAAAATTATTGGTACATACAATATAAATTAAAATCTCAAATCACAATTGAAGACCTCGGTGCAAGAACCGGGCAAGTCCATTTTTAACTGAAATTGAGTTATTGCATTCAGCGTAGAAAATTTTAAGTTGCGCATATTTTAGTACAAGAATCGGGTAAATCCAACGAATATTCATTGAGTTAGCATAGCAATGGATTTATCCGATCATGCATTACGGTGCAAGACTCAGGCAAGTCCAAAAGATATCTGATTTTAGCACCGAAACCGAAATGGTCGCGTGTAGTGGGAGATGTCGGAGTAGGGATAACGCTGAATGTTCCGGTCGTACTGGTGTAGTGTTTAGGTATTTTGTTTTCAGTTGTGAGAATTTGTTAGAAAGAACAGGTTGTAATTTTGTGTTTAGTATAATACGTTTTATAATGTCGTCGGAATCAGAAATCGAGAGCGATCCTTTTCAAGATTCGGGTAGTGAATATGCTCCGAGTGATTTGGATCAACCTAGTACAAGTCGTGGATCGAAAAGAACGGAAATTAAAACAAAAAAGCGAGTTCGCAGACGTTTGGATCGGACAACATTAACAGAGAAGAGAGGTAGAAAACGAGTAAGAAACGAAAGTGCGTGGCAAAGAAATGTAAGGAAATCGTTAAAAGCCTTCGGAGAGGAGTATCTGAATTCAGTTAAAAAGGTTGTACCTAAAAAAAACAGTGGGAATACGATGCACTTGCCGACTTTAATGTTTTGACAAAATTGACGAAACGAAAAGATTGTCTATTCTCTCCTCTTTTAACGAATTAGGAAATAAAGACAAGCAAGACTTATATTTGGGTGGATTGATTTCTTTAAAACCAGTGCAAAGAAAACGGCCAAAATCAGGACAAAAAAATCCAAAAGAAGTTTCATTTTCATACAATGATGTTAGAAATGTAATATTAATATTACAATATACTGTTATACTAATAATATTGTGTTTTGTTACAGTTTCGTTTTGGACATACTGAACATAAAGTCTGTAAAAAGGCGTTTTATGGTATTCATGGCGTGACCAAACATCGGGTTGATCGTCTTGCTTCATCACTGAAAACTGGGATATCCCCCCCACCTGATATGAGAGGAAAACACATAAATCGACCTAACAAGATGCCAGAGGAAATATTGCTGTACATAAAAAATCATATAAACAGCTTCCCAAAGCGGAGTTCCCATTATAGCCGGGAAAAAATGATTTCAAGTTTTTTCTGCCTGCAGAGTTAAATATTTTGAAGATGCATAAGCTGTATTTGGAGAAGTATGAAAATGAAGTTTTCCAGGCATTAAAAAAGGACGAAAAAGCCCATCCGAAAGTTACCTACGACTTCTACAATCGCAGTTTTGTATTAAATCATAATATCAGTTTCGGAACTCCGAGGTCTGACACATGTCAAACTTGCGACAGATTACAAAATCTTATACTTGCCGAGATAGATCCTGAAGAGAAAAAAGCACGTCTGACTGAAAAAGATATTCATATTCGTAAATCGGAGGTGTTTTACAAAAAAATAAAAGAAGTTACCATTCTCAGTAAAGAAGATGAGTCAATCGAAGTATTATGTTTCGACTTCCAGCAGAATTTGCCTTTACCCCATGTTCCAGCAGGAGATGTGTTTTACAAAAGGCAGCTTGGGGAATATAATTTTTGTATTCATTCGTGAAAATTGGGCACGTCAACTTTTTACATGTATGATGAGCAGACCGCTAAGAAAGGAAGTAACGAAGTCATATCCTTTCTTGATCATTATATAAACACATATTTGCCTGGTTCAGTAAGTAAGCTATACATTTTTTCGGACGATGCATTTGCAGAGATTAAAAATCAAACGTTAGTGAAATATCTGTATACTTTGGTAAATGTAAACAAAAAAATTAGTCAAATACATCACCATTCCCCCGAACCAGGGCACAGTTTTCTACCATGTGATAGGTCATTTGGACTCATAGAAAAAAATAAAAGGAAGAAGGAAAGAATATATCTACCATCAGAATGGATAAAGTTAGTTGAACAAACTTCGAAAAAATTTAAGGTAGTTCTTGTAGACCAAGAGATGATCCTAAACTTTTCTGACCATTTTAAACAACATTTTAAATCAGCCCCCAAAGGGCCAAAAAAAGAAAAGTTTGCTATATTAAACAAGAGACTTAGTACGAAAATATTTACCTTGCCTGAATATTGCCGAATACCTACATTTTGGAGATAAAAACGAAGATCCTGATGAAGGTAGTGTTAGTGACTCTTCTTATATTTAAAATAATTATTTGATTATTATATTTTCATTTTAATTAAAACGTATCATTTGCAATAAAAAATCCAAAACAGTACATTGTTTCATTTTTATTTTTAACACGCGGGATTTTTTGAACAAAAAACAGGCAAGTCCATTTTTTCAAAACAAAATTGTTGCGTCTACAATATGAATTAAAAGTAATGATTGAATAAATAAGACTTGTCTAATGTTCCTCTAGAAGGATTAATTTAATTAAATATAATTTATTCACATTTTCTAAAAATATTAAGTTTTTTTCGATTTCCCAACAATTTAGAAAAGTGGAGTTGCCCGGTTCTTGCACCGAGGTCTTCAATTGTTGTTGTAAATCTCCTAATCAAAATATTCCTATCTTTTCTAAAGCAATTGTAAAAATTGTGTTATTAAAAAAGGAAAAAACTGATGACTAGCAAAACTATCTCTCTATGATGATGAGTTGTCCAAATCCTTGTTCCTTGTAGCCTACTTTATCTATTCTTAGCAGTCCCCTAGGTAATCAGCAATCTTACAACAAATGGTTGCAAGTCTATCGTCTTTAATGATCTCCTTCAAATGCACGTATCATTCAAATTATGCTAGCCTCTTCTCCTCTCGATAAACTGAATCTCTCGTTCTAGCCTGAACAGTGACTCTTGTAATATCTTCTCCTCACGATAAACTGAATCTCTCGATCTAGCCTGAACAGTGACTCTTGGAATATAAGTAGAAAATATAACTTACAATATTTTACTGGACCAGCTTCTGTCAGATACACTAACTCCACGAAAACTCACAAACATTCACTTCTACTGCTTCTTACCTCTGGGGAACTACCCGAGAACAACGGCCGTTCGCCTTGCACCCTTGGAAACCAACTGTCCAACTTTTCTTCCTCAAAAAACTAAAGTCTCATTCTTACAAACCATCCCAACTTTTTCAATTTCCTCCAATCAAAACTCGTCATACATAGCTACAATACAATATCTCTTCATTTAGATATTAAAAAACAATTTTACCTACAATTATAAATTTCTTAAGAACTAAACAAAATGACGGTATTAGATCTGGATTTGATACAGAGCAGCAACAAGCCGCATATACGTATTTCGATCTCTTTAGATCTCCACAACTTTAGATAGTTACTACTCCATGGAGTAGTAACTATACCGTACTAAGGAGATCTAAAGAGATCAAAATACGTATATGCGGCTTGTTGCTGCTCTGTATCAAATCAAAATCTAATACCGTCATTTTGTTTTGTTTATTTACTTCATTTGGAGTACCAGAAATCGAATTCACTACGAATATAGGCCATGATGAACGGCATTTGGACTGCAATTTTAGACTCCCTTGCCGATTCATTCATCAAGCTGTTTGCTTCGCAAGTTTTAGGGGGCACGGTGGCTTATATTTGAATTCGATTTCGCCAGGTAGAAATCGTATGATTTCTCTTTTTGTTCTTAAGAAATATTTACTTACTAATCGGTTTCTACAAAGTCTTAAGAACTAACAGAGAAATATATTTTTAAACAGCTATTCTATTGTCCTAATTACTGTACAAATCCATTTGGAAAACCCGCTCGCATTGTTTTGTTTCACTAATTTCACTCGAATATATTTTACAAAGAAAATAATTTATGCATATCTTAAATTTTGTTTGTTACAGTTAATCCAAAGATAAAGGACTTTCACTGCTTCCAAATATCTTTTGTAGTTTATTAGTCGAATTATTTTAATTATTTAATTTTTGAACTTTGAAATATATTAAGCAAACCATTTCCCCAAATCTTTTTCTGTCATATGCAGTTGCCTCTTCTAAGTCTCTTGCCGCCATTGCTTCATGAATATCGTTGCGCCAACTTCTCCGTGGTCGTCCTCTCTTTCTTCTTTCAGGAGGGATCCATTTCAGTACTTTTCTAGCCATCTGTACTTTGGCATTCTTTTAACATGTCCGAACCAGATTAATTGCTTTTTTCTATGTCATCATTGATATTTCGCTCCATTTTCATTTCGTTTATTATTTGTTCGTCTTAGATAATCCATTTCTGTCGTCATAAGTTTGTTTCTATAAGCTTTGGTAACGTCCCATACTTCCGAACCATAAAGTGTAATACTTTGAACTATACTACGGTAAATGTGTTTTTTGGTTTCTCGTCGAATCGTTTTTTGCCAGAGAAGAGAGTTTAAGGCACGGGTCGCTGCTGTGCCCTTGTTTATTCTTTCTCTAATTTCATCTGCGCTATCATGCTGCCCTTCTTGTTGAAAATGACTTACTTCCAAATATTTGCAGGATTGTACGCCTTTGTTTTGTCGTCTTCCAAGACTAGGTCACATATTTCATCTGTTCCCACTGAGAGATATTCACATTTTGTCATATTCATGTTTAGACCTGCCACCTCATATTCTTCTTGCAGTTTTCTTACCATATAGTTAATGTCGTAGCTGTCTTCGGCAATTACTACCTGGTCATCCGCAAAGAAAAGTGTATATAGCGTGTTTTCTTTCACCGTTTACTCTAAATCTACGTCTAAATGAACATCTCTATAAGGCGATATAGAGAAAGCTGTACTCCTCGCGACGTCCAGATATGTACGAAAATTTTTGGGAGATATTCCAACATACCAAGTCACATATGGTTCTATTACACAGAAAGAGTCCTACTAGAGCTCAATACTTTTGATACCCTAGGTATCTGGAATGAGTGAATTTTCCCCTTAAGGGGAGTATGATCTATATCACTAAATATGGTGATAATGTCACTAACTTCAACACATCCTATATATCCTTACCATACATTAATGGATTTTCTGAACAAATGTCAAAAATGTTTGCAAGGTATAATAATAATGTTAGACATAATTCATCACTAATCATCAGATTTAAAAATACACATGAGTTATCCATGTTTAACTTAAATATCACTAAGCAAATGATAATACATAATGGGTACATCGAAAAAACAATAAAATTTTAAATCAAAAACTACACAAGAAAGCCCTGAAACTAGTATTTCCACCACCAGAGAAAAAACTCAGTACCTTCTGCTCGATTACATATACAGGCAAAATAACAACAAAAATAGCCAAACACTTAAAAAAGAAGAAAGGGATAACACTAGTTCTTAGAAGAAACAACTTAAGCAAATATTAAAAACAACAACAGCCAAAGTAAAAAGCACTTACACAGTGGTGTATACAAACTTAACTGTAGCGACGGCCCAAAAACTTACATCGGTCCAACTGGCAGAACTTTAAACAAAAGTCTAGCAGAACATCAAAAGGGTTTTTAATAATAAGAAAACATATTCTACCTACGCACTTCACCTTATAAATTATAATCATCCTTTTAATGACGAATATCAAATTCTTTACATCCAAAATAAACGCTTAAACTATCTTTATTAGAATCTATGGAAATTATTATTATTTTATAGTAACACCACCTTATGAGCTTATTTTGAAAAGTAAGTCGTCCAGTACTAATGAAAATAAATAATTCCATTTTTTACATTCTCTGCTGTCAGTACTACAAAAACTGACAAGGAACTTCATCACTTAATCAGTAAAATTTCTTTTTTTAAATCAATAATTCATTATTTTAACGTATTTATTAAAAATTTAGTCACGTTTCACATTTGTAGCTGTTACAGCAAAGACCAATTATGAAATAGTTACCCAAACGGCACAAGAAGTGTTTGAGATCAAAAGATAGAGCCATAGTAATAAGTGTGAAGGGTCAATGGCAATTAATAATTAGTTAGCGCTGGGAACAGATTCTATTCATATTGAATTTATGCCTAATTGATTTGTGTTGTACGTTTCAACAAACGTTTGGAGCATGTAATTCAGTTAAATGCTGTAGGTCCTTTTGTTATCTCGTAGATTGACGATTTACGTTTTCGATTGGTGATAATATAGATACTTATCTAAGTATATAAGCATCATAGTCACATGGGAGTAAGAGAAACTCAAAAATTGTTCTACAAAAAATTCTTTTTCGTGCTCTTCATCCTTTGACGACATTAACAACCATCACGGCCGTGAGTTGCAGTAGTTTTGAAGAGTTCGATTGTTGTTTTTCTACTCCATTGCTTTAAATTTTTTAACCAGGACATGCGTTGTCTCCCTGGTGCTCTTTTTCTTTCCACTTTCTCATGTATATTCAACCGCATCAACTCATATTTTTTATTTCTTAATATGTGACCCTAGTAGCTCATTTTTTTTCCTTTATAGTGTTAAGAGAATACGTAGAATCCGTATCATCTCAATACTCTAGTTCTAATTTCTATTCCCAGTTTTTCTCAATGCGTCGTTTTATTTCAAGGCTGCGGTCCCAATGTTCAATTAGCCGATATCCTAGGTAATTGTATCTGGCTACTTTCTCTAAACCTTTTTTATGTTTGTTTGTGTTCC